TTGCCCATTTTATGATTGGGTTATTTGTCTTTAAGTTTTATTTATATTTTGGTTATTAGATTCTTGTCAGATATATGGTTTCTTGAAGATATTCTCCTAGTTAGTAGCTTGTCTTTTCACTTTTTTTGTAAAGTCTTTTGATGAACAAAAGTTTTTAATTTTTATGAGGTCTCGTTTATTTACTGTCTTTTGCTGTTTGTGCTTTTGTTATTGTATTAGATAATCCATTGTTAAAAGCTAGACCTGACAGCATTGTCCCTGCTTTTTCTTCTAATTATTTTATAGTTTTAGTTTCCATACTTAGGTCCTTAATCCATTTTGAATTTGTTTTTGTATATGGTGTGAAGCATGGATCCTGTTTCATTTTTCTGCATGTGGAAATCCAATTCTTCCAGCACCGTTTATTGAAAAGGCTCTTCTTTCCCCATCGAATGGACTTAGCACCCTTGTCAAAAATCAGCTGACCACAGATGTGTGGGTTTATTTCTGGGCTCTCAATTTTATTCCATTGGTCTATGTGTCTATTGTTATACTAGTACCAGGCTGTTTTGATTACTGTAGCTGTATAATATGTTTTAAAACCAGAAAGTATGAGTCCTCCTACTTTGTTCTTCTCTTTCAACATTACTTTAGCTATTCAGGGCCTCTTGTCATTCCATATAAAGTTGAGGATTGCTTTTTCTATTTCCAGAAAGAAGGCTGTTGGAATTTTGATCAGGATTGTGTTGAACCTATAGATTACTTTGGAAAGCAATGACATCTTAACAATATTAAGTCTTCCAATCCATGAACATGGAACATCTTTCTGTTTATTTAAGTCTTTTTAAATCTCTTTCAGCAGTGTTTTATAGTTTTCATTGTATAAGTCCTTCATATCCCTGGTTAGATTTATTCTTAAGTATTTTATTCTTTTAGATGCTATTGTAAATGGAATTGCTTCTCTAATTTCCCTTTCATATTTCTCATTGCTTGTGTATAGAAACCCAACTGACTTGTTTGTTGACCCTGTACCCTGCAACTTTGCTGAATTCCTCTATTAGCTCTAGAAGTTTTCTTGTGGACTCTCTGGGATTTTCTATACATAGGATATCATCCGTGAACAGCAATAATTTTACTTCTTCTTTTCTAATCTGCATAGCTTTTATTTCTTTTTCTTGTCTTATCACTCTGGCTAGGACTTCTAATACATTGAATAGAAGTGGTGAGAATGGGCACTTTTGTTTTGTTCCTGATTTCAAGAGGAAAGCTCTCAGTCTTTCTCCATTAAGTATAACGTTGGCTGTTGGCTTTTCATACATGCCCAGAATCATACTGAGGAATTTCCCTTCTACTTCAATCTTCTTTAGGGTCTTCATCAAGAAACGGTGTTAGATTTTATCAAATGCTTTTGCTGCATCCATAAAGATGATCACGTGTTCTTTTCCTTTGTTCTACTGATGTGGTGTATTATGTTGATTTTCTATTTTTGAACTACCCCTGCATTCCTGGAATAAATCCCACTTGGTCATGAAGCCTCTTGATTTTTAAATGCTGGTTCAATTTTTTTTTTTTTGGGGGGGGCAGTAATGATTGGGGAAGGGACTAGAGCCCTTCTGCCCACTTCCTTTTCCCCATGTTCAACACATGTGTCTACAGGCTGTATTTATCCATTCTGGATCATCTCTGCCTTTCTCATTCCTCCTAACTTGGAATGTTCTCCACCCAACCATTTAAATCTTACCCAATTCCCACCTCACTCTTCACCTACCCCATCTTTCCCAATACTCTGACCTGGTGCATGTACTCAATAGATATTCAGATAGTAGTTGTTGCACTCTAAAAGCACTTATGAGCTATAAATCCCATTTAGCACTGCCATATTCTGTTGTTTTTCCTCCTTATCCAGTTCTAAACTCTTGAGAAAGATAGAATCCCCTTTCCTGGTTTATCCCAGGTAGCTTAGCACAAGTGTGGGCACAAAATAGTCAGCAACACTTGCTGATAATTTCAGGTTAAATGGACTTTAGTTCTGGCTTACCAAATGTCCTTTGATCTTCAGGAGAGATGGCTACCTAAAGAACTGCCAAAGATTTCAACCCAGCAGCCTTGCCTTGGCACCAGTAGAATGGTGGCATCTCCAATTTTGATACCTGATTTAGCACTAAGACCATGCAAACAAGAGGGCCATGATCACCTTGGAGAATTAAGAAGGACCGGCCAACGATATAGAAAAATCTATTATCCCAGGTATCAAAGTGCAATGAGCAACAAACATGTTTCTTTTGTTATGATTTTTACATGGTCATAGTGATTCTCCAGTCATTATGAAAAATAATGAAGAAAAAAAAAAAGAATGAGATAAAATGAGAAAAGATAGTTTCCTGGTGACTGGTTCCCCGCTTCATGTCTACTTCACAGTCAAGCAGATGGTAACCCTTACCCCCTGCCTTGTTTTTTGCTTTCATCTGCATCATTAAGTGTTTCCACTGAAGGATCGCTACACACTTCAAACTGGGCAATGACAGAGGCAATCAGAGGATACAGAATGGTGGTTGAGACCCAAGTGGTCTTGGTTGGTTGTGACTGAGCCCAGTCAGGATGGCACAGCGTGTCAACTAACTTCTCAGAATTAATTTACTCATGGAAATTTCTGTGGCTTCTGTTTGCCAGGACTGCCTCACAGGCAAATCACAGGAATAATAGTCTGAGGAGGCATGAACCCAGGAACAACAATTCACTGCCTTGGGTCTGAGAAATGGTCTGTGAAGCTGGTGGAGGACTTACAGGGGCTTTGGCATGGCCCGCACCCAGGGCTGTGACAATGGCACTGCTTCCATGTCAGTAACAGCCTTCCTTAACCTCAGCACTCACAGGTATCCATCAGAGACTCAGCTTGGAGGGAGAGCAGTCTTGTTGGAAACACACCCACACTCCTAACTCTAATCCTCTTCCAAAAGCAAACAAATGAAACCATTCCTGGCATTACCCTCCCTTTCCCAGGAAAGCCCCAAAAATCTGTGCCAGGCAGGGAATAGTCCCCCTGGACAGTGTGAAGTAGGTGGAGCAATCCCAATGATTTGTGAAAAACAAATCACATCTAGGCACCAACAAAATAAAAAAATCCCAACCCGCTCCTTCAGGACCTGTGTTAAAAGACACGTCTCCCTTCTCCACCTAGCTGCCTAAGCAACCTCTTTGTATATACTGTACTCCGTGGTGACTCAGGGGGCTCACAGCTACTAGCTGCTGAAAACAAAGATTAAAGACCACTAGTTGGTACGAGCTGGCTAAAATCTGGGGATGTTAAGCAACCTGGGCTAGAAATTCAGCCTTGCTCATGCTGATTAACAAATAACTTCAGTCACTACCAGGTACTAGGTTTAAACAAAGTAGACAAAAAAGAAAATAAGCTCTCCTTAAAGTCTAGGAGGACCTGAGAACCACCCAGCATGGCAGGAGGCTCCCTAGGCAAGTGCAGCCAGGGGAACCAGAAGAGACTCGTGGCCCATAAGCCACACAAGTTATATTACATTCAGTTCTTGAGGCACTGGTCCACCTCTTGGTGAACAAACACAGTAGCTACCAAATAACAGATAAATAATAAAACTTCCTGAAGGTCAAGGGAGGATTTAAAGCTGCCAATCACTAAAAAGAGGCCTGATTTTCTCAGTCCAAAATTTCATCTTACACTGTAGTTGCATTTTTTTTTTTATAAGTACCTCTTACTTTTAGAGTCATTTTTCCTCCCGAGAATCTAAAAATCCCTTAGTCACTCACTCTCCTTAGGTGGCGCAAATGGTTAAATGCTTGATTACTAGCTGAAAGGTTGGTGGTTCAAACCCACTCAGAGGTACTTCGGAAGATAGCCCTGGCTATCTGCTTCCAAAAAGTCACAACCTTGCAAACCCTATGGAGTGGTTCTACTCTGCACACATGGGGTCACCACGAGACGGAACTGACTCAATGGCAACTAACCACAACAACAAAAGTCTCTCCTAAGGCAAAAATTATTGGACCCATTTTGCAGATCTGTTAATACTTTAGAGAGATGGAATGGGAGGGTGCTATCGCGCAAACACAGCTTGGAGAGGGTCAGGAAAAGGTTGCGGCATGCTGGTCTCTCCCCCTCACCCTGGTGTCTCAAGCGAACCAGTCGCCCTGAAGGTAGTCTGTGGCTGAACCTCAAACTCTTTTCGCTAGAGGAAGGCAAAGTCGACTCTGTTTGTCCTGAGTCTTACATAACTGTAGCCTGAGAGCCCAGCTGTTCTGGTCATGGCCTCACATTATTCCTGCAAAGGCTCTAGCTGATAAGATTTATGGGGTGGTCTGAAGAAGCATGCTAAGCAATGTGGGATGAACCACAAGTGAGAACTTTCTGGCCCTTGCAGAGAAGATCTAGTTTCTGTGAAGGATTGGACAGGCAGTCTTGAAACTGGCTGTCTTGGCTATGGGTGCTCAATGCTCAATAATGAAGCATCAGGGCTCATCTCGTTTATAGTCTCTGGTATGAGATCACAGCCATGCTAAGGTTTGAGGACATGAAGACACAAAGGGCTACTGGGGACTCTTCTTTCTGACGGTGGACACATAGGTAGCATTGAACACTCCCAACACAGTCAGGGAGAAGAGAAACTGAAACAACATTAATGAGGGAAACAGACTTGGCTACTGACCTACTGAGCTACTACTCGTCCCTGGATGTTTGTAAGACTAAAAGAAATTGCTTTTCATGCCCAGCAGCCAGTACAGGCAATAGCCATCACCAAAGCCATCTCAGCAAGATGGTAAATCAAAAATCATCAAGGCCAAGAAGCGGTATGTTAAGAATAATGATTTCCCTTAAAAGTGAGATGATGATGTTCAACAAACCTCTGACAAACTAGCCAAGCTCCAAATTTAAGGAGAAGGTTTAAATCATGTTCACTGGACAACACCTCAAATTCAGATAGGGCCAGAGAGCGAATTCTGGGCAGAATGGTAGATAAGGCCCCAGTGTGGCGGCAACTGGCCATCATACTTACAGTGAGTTGGGCCGCGTGGGTTTGACCACATCCAGGTCTGGGTCACTAGAGTTCATGTTTGGCTGCAGGCTGCTGCTGGAATTAAGGATGCTGTTTGCATTTGATGAAACCACAGATTCCAGACTGGAGTTGATGATGCTGTTCCTTTGTTCCTCTGGGGAAAAAATGCCACAAGATCCATATTAATATTGTTCTATAGAGATAGTCTGTTCATACATATACAAAAATTGAGCAATGGGTTCAGATTGAGACCTCTAGCCCCAACGAAGCTAAGAAAAGGACATAGGAAAGGATAAGAATTAAAAGTGGGAGAGAAGAGTCAAAGGGGAATAGGCAACTCTTGAAAGCTTAGAGCAAAACCTCTTCCTCATCTGCACAGGACAGACCTCCCCTTTAATATGGGGTAGCCCTTTCCCTAGTCTTTCCCTAGGACATTACAACCATCAATCTTATCCTCTTTTGACCAGCAGATGGTCAGAAAGCAGAGCAGCCCCTGTGGATCCCATACATTCAACCAGATCCCCTTGGTTTCTGTGACACTCGTCTTTTATTCTAAAATTCTTGTCTAAAATATGTCCTAATTGCCCAGGCCATGTCCTACCTCCAATTCTATAGCACCTCACCGTAGAATATCTACTATTTGGCCATCAACTTCCTTATGATGCAGCCAGTCCAAATTCCGGAAACTGTTCTGTGTTGCCTCTAGCTCAATACATTTAGTGTTTAACTTACAGTTAGTCCTTTGATAAATAATATGTAATAGGTTGCAGCGCAATACGCATATAAAAAAGCTGGGCCCATGGTTCAAACAGTCATATTAATGCTTGGAGAATATTATTAAGTCAAAAACAAAAACAAAAAAAACCAAACCTGTTGCTGTCGATTCTGACTCATAGCATTTCTATAAGACAGAGTAAAACTGCCTATAAGGTTTCCAAGGAGCAGCTAGTGGATTCCAACTGCCAACCAGCTGAACTCTTAACCACAGCACCACCAGGGGTCCATTACCAAGCCAGGGGGGAGAAAACCTGAGCCCCCTTCAAGACTCCACCAATGACTGGCTGTGTGGCCTCAGGCAATATTCATGGATCTTGGATTCTTAGTTAACAGGTGGTACAATGGGGAGATGATAATTGCCTTGGACAGTTTACAGAGCTGTCATGAGGACCAAGAGGGATCATATGCAGGAATGTGTTCTGTAAACTCCAGAACACCACTCAAAGAAAATAACTTTGTTTTTTCCCATTTTTAAAACCTTAGAACCATACTTCGAAAAAAACATATTTTGGGGGATGATTTAGGTAAATGGCACAGGCACCACTGCTGGAGGAAATTATTATTAACTTGGAATGTCATTCTCATCCTACATTTATCACAGATATACCATATTGAAATCCACTGATGCTTCTGGCAATCAACATACTTGTCAAGAAATATAAAATCTGGGTTCACACAGGGCATTTGTATAATCCTCTCACTATACCTTTCTGAAATGAACCAGAGGTATACTATATCCCTAAGAGGACAAACTGGGCTTATTGTTTAGAGGTTGACATTTGAACTCAGGTCTCTTTAGGCCATAAAAGGGGTGATGTCATGACAAAAATGCTTTTCCCTTGCACTAGTCACATCTATAAAAATAAATTATGTTTCTAAAATGATGTTAGAGTAATCTTCATATTAAGTAAATGCACATACACACACTCACACACATGTTCATATCCTCTAATGTCTTGGCAAAGCCCTAATGCCCTGGATAAAGCCCCATTGAAGAGTTTTAAAACCTCACAAGGCTATCAGGAGATACCCAAAATTTAAGTAGATTTTGAAAAAAGCAGATTATTAAATTGATTCCTGAGATTTAGGACTAGTCGTATTTCAAAAGCTTATGTTTCAAACAAACAACAACAAAGAAAGACAAACCAAAAGGGTTAGGTTGAGCCAAGATATAGGAAGACTAAAGGCCTGTAAATGAGAACTTGCTACTAGGAAGAAAAACAACTCTAAAATTACATAATGAGGGGATCATAGAGAGAATGGATATGCCACTTATCAGTATAAGTACAATTATCCGCTGCACGAAATAGTCCAATCAAGATTCCTGAACGACTGTTAGGAGCCCAAGATCACCATAGAAAGAAGGGGCATGAGAGGACTCCTCTGAGGTTCAATCAGCGACATTTTTAGCTTCATATAGAAAGAGGAAGAATAATTTTATTAACATTAGTTTGAGAATCCTGAAGGGTCAAGTCTGCATGACAATTCTCTGAATTCTCAGGAATTGGAAGACTACAGCTATAGATCATATTTCTCCTGTGTTTATATTTACTTGTCCATAAAGAGCTATGATTCTACCAACTTAAAGAAAAAAACAACACTTTGCCAAAAGTGTTTTGTTGTTGACAGGTGCCGTGGGGTCAGTTCCGACTCATAGCAGACCTATGTATAACAGAATGAAATGTTGCTTGGTCCTGCGCCATCCTCACAATCATTGCTATGTTTGATCCTATTGTTGCAGCCACTGTATCAATCCATCTTGTTGGGGGCCTTCCTCTTTTTCCCTGACCCTCTACCAAACATGATGTTTTTCTCCAGGGATTGGTCCCTCCTGATAACATGTCCTAAATAAGTGAGACGAAGTCTTGCCATCTTCATTTCTAAGGAGCATTCTGACTGTACTTCTTCCACAATAGATTTGTTTGTTGTTCTGGCAGTCCATGGTATATTCAATATTCTTCACCAACACCATAATTCAAATGCATAAATTCTTCTTCAGTCTTCCTTATTCATTCTGCCCTTATTCAAGTGTATTAGTCTTTCTAAACTGTTATTAGAAAAAGGGAGTATCTGAGATGAACCGTCCTCAGTTTTCATTTATTCAATGAATATTTATTGAGAGCCTTCTTAGTACCAAGCATGGTCCCCAGACGGTTAACAGATCTCTACACTAATTCTTTGGTATTTTATTCAGACGTATACTATTTATCAACTTGCACATATTTATTTGTTTATATGTCTGCCTTCCTCAATAGCCTACAAGTGACCTAAGATTGGACATTTGACAGATAAAACTTTGAAATCACAGTTTAAAAAATTATATAAAGACGAGGCGGGGCCAAGATGGTAGAGCAGTCAGACACTTCCTGTGGTCCCTCTTACAACAAAGACCTGAAAAAACAAGTGAATCAATTTACATATGATAATCTAGAAGCACTAAACATCAAAGACAAAGTTGAGGAATTGGTCTGAGTGGGAAAGGGAGGGAGAGATGGTTCAGAAGCAGCAAGGAGTTGCCAGACTTGACCCGGCAGGAACCGGCATCTTGCAGGCTGGATCGGCTGGCACGAGCAGTGAGGCAAGCAGTGGCGCTCAGGACGTGTTTTCCACATTGGGAGAGATGGAGCGGTGGAGAGTTGGCTCAAACCTCCCGAACCAGCAAGAAATAGTGCTCAATCGGTGAAAGATAAGTACAAGCATCTAACCTACTGCATGGATCAAAAAAAAAAAACAAAACAAAACTCTGCTCTTGGGAAATAGCTCTCTCTCATTTACCTGCTCCCTCCCTACTCTGCTACAGATCCTGGCTTCAGAGATTGCTGCGCTCCCTGGGCCGGAAGTAGGACACATCATGCTCCCTGAGCCATTCTCCTGGCTTTGAAGAGGGAATAAATTAACAAACAGGAAAAAATAATCTGCCAGCTCCCCTAAGCCAGGAACTCAGGGCAGGCACAGCTCCTTTGCCTTGGCACAGCATAAGGGGTCTGTGGACTCTGAATGCCTTTCACTCCTGTGTAGTAGACCTATGTGGGCCCATTTCATCAGTGTAGGCCCTCACTAGCACAGTATACCAGGGTATATACCTGAAGCCTATTTTCATCTGTATTAGCTATAAGGGGGAGTGACAGATTCATGACATCTGACATTGCCCTGCCCATTAAGCAGGGTCCTCACCTACCCACATCAGGGGCCTGAGGACTGATGGCTCCACCCACTCCACTGAGCCACCTGCAACAGGGGTCCAAGAATAAGTGGTGACTCTCAGTCCTTACAGCCAATAGCTTTGGGTACCCACAGTCCAGTTGCAAAATCCACCTACCTACGTGCTCTAGGGAACAGGGACATGCCTTCCACCCAGACATCCAGGGGCAGCTGTCAGCCCCCTGCCTTGATCAGTGCATGACCCCCTCCTGCAGTCAGATACCTGAGTCTACTCCAATCACCCCTGCTCATCTAGGACTCTTGAGTGAGAGCCTGCACCATACACCTGGTGACCAACAACCTGGACCCTAAGCTGAATCCACACAAGAAAAGTAAACAGACTCTTGGGCTCACGTACCTAGTAACAGCTCTAGCCAACCTGGAGACAGGACATGAGAGCTTAAAGATGCCAATAATCAAACTAGCTCACACAACCAGCCTATTTGGGCATACCGAAACAAAACAAAATAAGAAGCTAGAAAACAGTAAGCAAACATAAATAAATGTAATAACTTATTGATGGCTTGGAGAAACCAGTCAATATCGAATCACATAAACAGGCAGGCCACGATGGCTTCAGCAAGCCACCAAAACAAAGAATCAAAAAACCTTCTGGAAGAAGAGAACTTCTTGGAATTACCGGAGGTAGAATTCAAAAGACTAATGTACAGAACTCTTCAAGAAATCAGGAAGGAGATCAGACAAAATGCAGAACAAGCCAAGGAACATACAGACAAAGCAATAAAAAATAATATAAAAAGGCTTTTCTTTACAAAATATCACAATCCTGATGCACATAAAAAGGTTAGGCAAGAGTTTTTAAGAAAATATCTATTGTTACAGTATTTAGACTGGCCCTTTTAACGAGCTAATGAGCAAGGTTGCAGCATATGGAACATGATATTTGTCTGAAACAAACTCACCACAGAAAGTGGATAGGGGTGGAAAACGAGGACTCGATACTCTCTGGAATAGAAAAGTCAACAGAATAAAACAGGTGGCTACATCCAAACTGAGCTTTAGGATTTCTAGTTTCATCTTTGGTATTTTGTTTACTTGATGGCATTATAATTCTTCTTTTAAGAAATAAATTCTTTTTGAGATTCTATTTTGATATATAGCTACGTACTTAGGACATTTCACATATTGCATGACTTGTAAACAAACAAAATGAAA